GGTCAAAGGATACTTAAATTAGATCAAGATATCGAAAAGCTCGAAAAGCAATACATGGAGCAACAAGACTCAGATACATGGGGTAAACTAAATGAGCTTAAATGCGAATTAAATGACATACTGAACAGAAAAACCGAATTTGCCCTGTTCTGTACTAGGCAGAAATATTACGAGCAGGGAGAGAGAGCTGGTAAAGTTCTGGCACACAGAGTAAAACAAATACAAAAAATAAATTGTATATTTCCTTGATTGGCAGACTCAATTTGGTAAAAATGATTGTAACTCCCAAGATCAATTATATCACTTGCGTGTTACCGCTACATCTTCCTCCCTCACTACTTAAAACATATAACGGGATGATAGAGAAGTTTATTTGGTCAGGAAAAAAACCCATGTTTAATCGGACCAAGCTATATGCTGCAAAAGACAAGGGGGGATTAGCACTTTCACGAATAGACTGGTATCATTTGTCATTTTCTTTATCTCAGCTATCTAAAATTCACCTACCCCCTACAAGGACCCCTCTGTGGGTCAGGATAGAAGAGCAACTAGTGTATCCTTTTTCTGTGGAGGCCTTCCTTTCACAAACAGACAGGCCGGTTCCCCTCCAAGACCCGGTACTGGCTTTTTCCAGAGAGTCTTGGAGAATAGCACATCAAATAACGAAAGCCAATCCACATTTATCAAGCAGATCCTCCATATGGTATAACAAGAAACTGTTAATAGATAAGAAGAGTTTCTTTTGGGATAAATGGATTAGGTCTGGTATTCACATTCTTGAGGATGTGATGGGAGATGTTGGATTCAGATCCTTTGACGAAATTAAAAATAAATATAATTTGTGTAATTCAGATTTTTGGAGATTTCTACAAATCAGACATTGCATTCTCTCAAATAAAGAACATATCCAGCATGGTACAACTGGAATTCAGGAAATTTCACATAAGATAGGAGATAAAAACAGAGGAGCATCAAAATTCTATGAATTTATTAGAAGTACACAGGTGCCAAAACTGGATGGTCTGAAAGTATGTTGGGATAGGGACCTAGATCGGGAGATTCCAGAAATTGATTGGAAGAAACTCTGTGCATCATAGTACTGTTACTCACGTGAAACACAGTCAAAACTCATTTGTTATAAGATATTAAATAGATCCTACTGGACTCATTCCAAATTAGCAAGACTGAAACTCAGAAACAGTGACATATGTTGGAGATGTAATAGAAAGGTGGGAACTCTGGTGCATATGTTATACGATTGTGACAGAACTAATGACATGTGGAATGAAATAATTTCGTTCTTGAATAAGATGTTTGGTATACTGTTGATCAAAAACCCCACATTGTGTCTTTTGGGATTACTACCAGATAATGTTCAAATGTCAAAACGCCTAAAATCATGGTGTCGTTTAGCTATGATAACAGGGTGTAGGATAACTTTACGCTACTGGAAATCTCCCACCTTGTCCACTTTTAAGGAATGGGTAGAGGTACTAAGCTCAATGGCAAGCTATGAGCAGGTCACCTATAGGGTGGCTGGGAGGGAAGATCTATTTAATGAAGTATGGGGCCCATTCCTAGCTCAGTTGCTGGATATGAAAGGATGACACTACCTACCTCAGCATAATTTTTATTATTTGGTTCAGGTACAGGATGTGTATACTATATGTAAGTGTATGTATGTAGACTTCCTAGGGTGTTGTGTTTTTGTTTTGTTTTTTGTTTTGTGGATTTATGTTCTGTGTTGGCTGTCTAGCTTGATTTGTATGTTGTTGCTGGACTGCAGACTCCTTTTTATTTTTGTTTGTAAAGAAAAAAAAAGACTGGGCAGATACTGAACAAGGACACACTGTATGGTTATTCATGTAACTATAATAATGTAACAGTTATTTCTTTGTAATTGTCTGACCAAAACATTAATAAAAAAAAAAAAAAAAAAAAAACCCTCGGCGCACACGGCAGCATAATCAAACAGATGCACAATTCAGAGCATCAGAAGGGTCTCTGACACCAGACTCAGAGCGGACCGGTGGAACTGGAAAATGCATATTTTACATCAAAAAAATCTATTTTGTCATTATTTTGAGTCACATTGTTGAAAGAATTTAGTCGTCTGTGTTCAAGCAGGATAATAGCAGGTCTCCATTGTGCGTCAGGCTTTCTATTTCCTTGTTGGAGATTTTTTCTTTTTTAATTACATGATATATAGGCTATTCTCCCCCAAAAAAAACGGCAAAATAAGCGCCCAAGCTTCGAATTTTTTTTTTCACAATCGAATCCCGTGCCATCGAACAAAGCTTCGAAGCTTCGAATTTTTTTGGGTCAGCCCTACAAGTAACAAAACATGTAACTCAGCATGTGATGTAAACAGTGACGTGGGAGGGAAGCCGCGGCTAGTCAGTCCTTCAGCGATTCTCTCGTAAGTTGGCCCGTCCCTCACCATCCCTGTCATCTGACGGTTAATAGCCTCTTCGTTTGCCAGAACAAGGAGGACCCGCAATTCCTTGTCTCCCCAGTTGCTCATCTTTACAGTGTCTGTCAGGTGTGCATTTCCCTCTTGCTACTAGCTGCTCGCTAATTCCTGCTCTCAGCTGTTTCCTGTTTATCCACCGCCAGTGGGTCGCACGTGCGGCGTCATCAACAGCTCCTCCCACAAGTCATCCACAGCTCCTCCCACAAGTCATCAACAGCCCCTCCCGTGGTGGAAGGGCGCCTCGTTCTGTTTAAACCAAAAAGGCTCTGCCAATATGACTACCCTACGAGGCTGAAAATCGGGCACCTCGGATCAACTCACCAATCCGGCTCTGTGTCTAAACGCTCACAGCTTGCCAGCAAAACAGCCCAACATTCACAGAAAATCTAGCAGTGTAGAAGAGGCTTTATTTTCCATCACTGCAGCAGCAGGAAGCAGCTTGACTACAAGTGAGGGTTTGTCGGAGAGACAAAACACATACTCATTTACAATACCAAGCGGGGACAACTTCCGCCTTTCTGCTCCAACACTGACTGACAGCTGACTCCACTCATTCACACTCACCACTGCCTCAGGGCCACTACCATATGCTATTTACAGAGATAGCACTGGCGATCTGAACCGGTCAGTGGCGAAAAAAAGCACTTTTATACGGGACGCATTTGCCCCCATTACCGTTTTAGCTCGTTTCGCAGCTCAATACTGAACCAATTTTAGAACGAGTGGTACCCATGAATCATACGCACACATACACACGGGGAAATAGAGTCCAGGTTGAAAAATACCGAAGTTGTCCTTTAATACTGACAGCCTTGCTTTATAGGTTTACCAATAAAACAGGGCATTCAAGTAGCATTTAAGTGAGCCTAAAAGTCAAACCCAAAACCAAAAAGGTGGTCAAAGTGAGTTAGACTGACAGAGGTAGGTTTTCCTCTCTCCTGCAAGTCAAAGTTTGCATCATTTCAAATCTAGGCCATATGAGGACAAGGACAGAACCCTCCTGTTTGTACCTTACAGGTCAGCCAGAGTTATATTGTAAAGAGTGCAGCTCCAGCAGAAGCTAGCAGCAGAGTTTCTTAGCATTATTTGCAGTCATTTTAAGGACCCTTGTTGATGTATATGGGTCTGTTATCTAGCAGCAATGAGGTAATTAAAACCAGACTTGTTTTTAAAGTCACAATGCTAGAAAAACAGGAATCAGGAACATCAGGAAAGGCTCTATCCGAAAAGATCAAATAATGTCTAAAACTAAAACTGGCACCAGCTGCATTCTTAGTGAGTGAGCTGCTCTACAATAAGTCATCAGGAAGTATGTCAGGATATGACAAATACGAAACATTAGTTTTTACTTTGGGGGTAAGTGAAGGTAAAGGGGACTCTTGCTAGATTATCTGCTCCATCCATTCTGTCAGCAGATGCTGCAATTTCTGTTGCACTGAAGTGACATTCCATGATGAAATCCGCCTTCATGGCTACATGTAAACAAAGCATCTACTCTTGAATGTGGCCTGCAAATTTATGTAGCTCTCCTGATAATCCTATCATCAATCCACCAAATTCTACTGTGGTGCGCAGCAGCAATGAGCAGCCTGAACTGAGACTTCATGTTTCAATTTTATCAATCTAAGCACAGCTCATAAAACAAGCTCCTGAGTCCTGAAGACAAAAGGTCTTGCTTCACTTCCATAAGGAGGGCATTTGTGCACAAAGTTAAGCCACGTTAAATTGCCAGATGATTGAATAGAGTTTGGCATGAAGTTTATTCTACATAGACACTTGACAATCAGCCACAGCCCTAATGACACCGTCCAAAGCCAACTGTGTCTCTACAGTCTATCCTAGTTGACTCCCTGCCCCTCCCATTCTGTTGGACAAACCAGCCTCTATCTTTTTAGAAACACTGAAACTTTTCAGCTGACTGCAGCTCACTGAATCTTTAGAATCTTCTTCATAAAAAGACAACAGCAAATGTTCTATGTCATTGACAAAACATCACCTTGGTGTCTGTGAATGTGTTCTTCATAAAGTTTCACCTTGATGAGATGTTTATGTGCGTGCGTGCTTTGAGCAATGCACAAAACACAAACAAAAGCCTATATGTTAAATAAATAAATACACTGTATTCATTATATATGAACGTTATTTTTCATAAATCCCTTTAAAAACACGTAATGTTATATAACACTACAAGTATATTATTCAAAATGCAATATAGCCTGTGCTATGAATTACCACAGAACTACAAGTGACCACAGGGATACCAAACCCAAACGACGAACAGCCCAGAAAACGAGGCGAGAGTGTAAACTACAAGTGCTGCTAACTGTAGATGCTAGCAACTCATGGAAAAACAGACGTTTGTTATAATATTAAGGAACTGCAACGTGAGATTAACTACAGTGTAATAAAGTCATTATAAACTCATGACATGCGCTTTAACCTCCTATGGAAATACTACCGTGAATGAAGAAAAAAACGGCCCAGTGATTTTACTGCTGAGAAAAAAAGCCCAGGTTGGGGCACTCACCCCTGTTGGAAGTGAAAAGAACAGGGTCGCTCCTCATCGTGAAGTCAAACTCATCTAATCCCCCAGCAGCTCCTCAGCAGCAGTACAATCCACACAGAGACACTTTAAGCAGTTTCTTTCTTCACTTTCTACCTCCACTAAGTCCTTTTCTTCTGGGCCGGCCACTCAAACGGTTTTCTGTTCCTTTCAAAGGATTTTCGGGATCTCTCTCCTCCTATCTTCTTTCCCTCGTCCCCTCCTCCCCTCTGATTCTCCAAATATCTCTCTCTCTCGCTCTCTCTCTCTTTCTGTCCCGCAAACTGCCTGCATGGATACTTAAGTTGCATTTAAAGACCATGGGAAATAACAGAATTCCCTGCCTGGGTGGTTTGTTAGTTACTTAGTTACTTAGACAGACAGACAGACAGACAGATAGATAGATAGATAGATAGATAGATAGATAGATAATCCAGAGGTAAATTAAGGCACCCAGGACTACTACTACTTATGATTACGGTGGTGCAACTTTAGCTGGTTGATAGTGCAAGTATTGCAATGCAAGGTGATTAAGAGCAACAAGTAGAATAAGAGCAGTGCAGGTGTAATGAATATTTTGCTGTGGATAAATGTAAATGCAAGATAAATACATGTACAGATGCCAGTGCAGATACAGATTTTTTTGTTTGTTTGTTTGTTTGTTTGTTTTGCACAAGGTGCTATAAACAAAAAAAGAAGGATTAAGGAATTTGAATTGGTTTGTGGATATATAACTTTATCAAGGACCAAACTATTACATTAAAAAAAAGTTGATTTGATTAAGCTTTTACAATAGCCAAATTGCTCAAATTCAACTAAATACACAAATATTAGTATGAGGAGGTTGGTTTTTTTTGTTTGTTTGTTGTTGTTTTGTTACCAAGCGGTAGCCTACTCTGTCAAATGTGAATTCATTTAAAAGAATAACAGTAATGATGAAAACATTAATATTAACAGAAGGAAAAAATAAATCTGATATAGTCTGGTTTGCATTTCTTCTTTTTCATTCTTTTCAATGCTAAATAAGAAAATACATGGTCCTCTTTGATACAGACTATATCAGCTATGGCACATAAATAGAGTGCTTCAGGGATGAGGTTTCTCTGTAGGCTGATGCAGAAGTTAGTGTCGCCATGGTTAAAAAAAAAAAAAACGGAGTTTTTCCATTGAAATCTGGATTAAAATTTGGAGAAAATAAGTTCTTTGGCAAACAAATTATTATGATACTTACACATTTTGTTCAGCAAGATAATCTTCACAAATTACCGCATCTTTTATGATCTTTGAAGCCTAAATGCAATCGCCAGAAGTAAAAAGCTAACATCAGGCTATAAACGAACCACACCACAGTCGCATGTCACCACCACAGGGCTGTAAATCTATGTTTGGCGAGATGACAGTCACCTGTTAGCAACCGCCTTTTTAATGATACATAGAAGCTTCAGAATTCACAGTGGGATATTTACTGACGTATTTTATGTTGTAGAACAAAACCTATAAGTCTCTTCAGCTTGTGCTAACCACAGACCTTATTTCTGACATCTAACCAAAAACACATTTAAAAAACCCATTGACTTTGAGACAAGGGAACCAGGTGTGCTAAAATGCTAACTCATTTCCAGGTTTTAGGACTCACTCGCTGGGCACTCTTTGCAGAAGTCTCAAAGTGAGATTACCTGAGTGCACTTGAAGGCCACTTTATTCCTTCCCTCCTACTTCTCTCTGTCTGAACAGTCTGTCACAAGTGGCCCTCCACTGGTTCATGCTCATTTTTCGCAATATACATTATAAAGATCTGAATATACTTTGAGGACAGGAGGATGAGACACACAACAGTATAACAACAGACAGATGTAGACAGAAATATTACGAATAAAATGACACTGAGGTGAGAATGAGTGTTGTAATTCAAATTCCTTTATTGGTGGGTGAGCAGGACTTTTAAAGAAGTTTTGATTTTATGAGAAAACGCCTTTTAAAATGTTACTCTCTAACATTCCTACCTTCCTACCTCCAGTGGTCTCTCTGATTACTTTTTATTTGTCTATTCAGTTTAGTCACATCAATAATCAAAATCAGGAAAAAAAAGACTGAAAAAGTATGTTTGTCAGTATATCAGCACCTCTAATATGCCCTCAGACTCATACCTTATAGTAACAGTCATCGACATGTCTATTTAGCTAAAGGAGATCTCTTTAATTGATACTCTATGGGATACTTTACCTGCACTAAGCCTTGATGTGTTACCTCCTTACTATTAACTGTGTGTATTTTTAACGATCTACACATTAAAATTCAGTTTACTCCTTCATTGCTTGGACCTTACTCTGGAAAAAAGATGTGTAAATGCAAGTGATTCTGCATCTGTAAACCCTCTGCACTGTTGCAAAAGTTTGATCTATTAAAAGAAAATTCTAACCCTGTAACTTCAAAACTCAGATTAGTCTTATCTAGTTTTAGTCACACTTTGCCACATACAGGAGAGAAGCAAAGAAACAAAAGAGAGTAAGAGGCTAGCTCTGCGACTAACACTTCATTACCATAAGCTGCGGATTCCCCACATCCCCCAGGGGCAGAAGCCAGTCTGAGTTCAATATCCCATCTGCCACCAGGGGAGGAGGAGAAGGAGGGGGAGGAAGGGAAGGGGGGGATACTGTGTTTTTCATTTTTTCTTTAGGGCTGCACTTTCTCAGTGAGGAACCTGAGACTGAGGGAGGGAACAGTGTGGAGAGGAAGAATAATGTCCCAGCTCACCTTTCAATTCCACCAGTTAAAGGAGAACCGCAGAATGGCAGAGTAGGTTGTTAAAGTGTATTCCCCTAAAGGATAATTACTATAATGTTCCTGTAACTGATCTCGTCCTGTAAGGAATGTGTGTGTGTGTGTGTGTGTGTGTGTGTGTGGTGTTCACTTATGAATATATTGCAAAAAAAATTCATACCCATTTTCCACCAAAATTAGCACATGTACGTGGATTTTTTAAACATGGAAAAAAACTAAACATAGGCTACAGACTCCATTACTATTGCCAGTAGACCAAAGCCATATACACTGCTCTGCAACAGACGAGAACACTTTGAACCCCAATCCATCTATGACACAAAACTTAAATGTAAAGTCTACACAAATGCCACAGATTATCAAACTGACATAAAGACTTTATGTTCACTTGACACAAAAACTCATCCCTCGTGAGCTTGACATAATTATAATATGTTAAGTCAACAAGTTTGTGTTTTGAGTTAATTTGACTAAAATTTATGAAGCCCATTTTGCCCAATTAGTTTACGGCCAATTAACAACACTATCATTGTGCACTTAACACATTGTAAGGTGTTGGGGCTAAATGGGTGGAGTTTCCCAGCATGCCGTTAGACAATGTGTTTAAGGCCATAAGCTGAAGAAAACTGTGTTTAAATGTGTTCTAAATCACTCACGTTACTCATTACACAGTGGTTAATGTTTATGTATTTTTTTTCAATGGTTCTAATGGGTTACAGTTAATGTTGTGATAAAAGATATTTTCCACCACAAGTTAAGTCGTATACACAGTTAGTGACGTCCTACCTGTGCGCAAGTAGGAAAACTAAGGGCTCTACAATATGTAATTACAGGTTAATTAAACTTCAAAAATTGTAAAATGTATACTCTGTTATGTTCATATGACATAGAATAACTGCTCAAACAATAATAAAAGTTATATTAAACTGACAGAAAATTCCTGTCAATGTACTCAAAACTTTACTGAAAAAAGTTACTGTAGTGTACTAAACTAAAAGTTTTGAGCGCAAGCTGTTTTAAAAAAAGTATTAAGTTGAGTGAGTAAGTGGGGGTTACCGTGTAGCCTATGTCTCTTTGTTTTTTTGGTTGTTTTTACTGGTGTGTCACATTTGATGTCACGGATAGGATGGAAAACAGTAGAAAGCAGCATGGAGTTCTGTGAAAACTTTACTGTGGCCACTTCTTTTTATATTTCTATTACCTATTCAGTCTCTCTGTCAAACTTTGTTGATGTTTGCCTCAGGAGGAGACGGATGGCAAAGGGGCTACAATTAGCACATTCACCTAGCTGTTGCATGAAAAAGTATGCCGGAGCCCATGCTGCAGTCATTTTTTCATGGGTGTGAATGCAGATTTTAACCTTTTCCATTACATACAAAAGCCAGATGTTAGCATGTGTTAGTCGTTTTTTTGTGCAGTGGGAAAGGGGCTTTTGTTAATGACCATTTGTTCATCAGAATGTATTTCTGTGGTATGTTGCAGCGTATCAAGGCTCTGCCAGTGAGTATGAATCCACACCAGCCTTCTGTGACTGACCATTCAATCATACTAATTGTGCTCAGTAACCTGAAAATACATAACTGAAAATTTATGTTACCATCACTTTGTGACTTCCTTGACAAAGTGCTTTTTTTCCAAAGATTAAGTTAGCATAACGTGGCCAATGCATCTGGGCGTAGAAGTCACATGTGCTTTTACCTGTTACCTGTTAGGATTAGCTGTGTTAGGGTTGCCAACTCTCACGCATCTGGCGTGTGACACACGCATTCACCGTCCATCTCACGGTCTCACTCTGCCCAACCAATTCTCACGCCAGCGACAAACGCTGTGACACTGATATGTCAGTCTGTCCTCAGAAAAACTACAACATCACTTAGAACGACAGGTTTACACTTTTCTCACATGCCAATGACGAACGTATCTGAGAAGCAGAGCTAAATGTGTATTATGTTACTATGGCCCTGTAGAACCTCTTGGGGAAGAGGTCGGGGAAGATAGGACAAACAGTGTATAACACTGAAACTGGGGACTGCTGCTTGTATCCCGCCTTGTACAAATTAACACCGTTTCATTTTACCAGTCTGACTCGAACAGTTACCAAGGGGTTTTATTTGCCTTTACCAAACCTTATACAGAGTGCAGGCCCGCCGTCAGGCGGGGTCAAAGGATACAGATGACCCCGGCCCAAGGCCAAGCAAGCGGCAGCCTCCAGGGCTGATGAGTAAAGCCAATGCAGAAGTGCCAAAAACTGCAGTTTATCAACAACCGGGCAAGGCCCGGTGGGCTCTTGGTATATTTTGGGCCGGCACAATCGTAATTTACTTAATGTAATTATGTAGATATTTTTTAACAACCGCGTCAGCCTTTAAAGCGTGGAAAATGGACCGTTGGTTATTTTTCTACACTGACATTGGGCTGGCCCAATGAAATCTCTCAGCCCTTCC